AAAAAAATAGTTTTGTTTTAAGTATTTTATCTTGCAGAGAAACAGCTGATTGTCAAACTGGCCAGGCTTTTCGCTTCTTCTTGGCAGCGCTCACTCCCGCTTGGATCCAACAGCCAGGGACCCACTGCGGCCACCCGTAGGGGTCCCGGGAAGGCGGCCAGGCATGGGTCCCGGCCTCTGATCAGGGAAATGTAGTTTCCCAAAGGACATTGCTCCACCAATCACAACCCGGAAACCTTCCTTGGACTCTCTTATTTGCCCTCTCCTATTGACTTTCTGCTCCACATCCCGGACTGTTTTCTGCCACATTTTTGGACGCAAACCCTCAGATCAGGCTTGCTCCGATTCGCAAGCAGCCTCCGCTTCCGTGTGCCTTCACCAGGAGACCATGAATTTCTTTCAATAATAAAGTGACTGAATATTTTTATTAATAAACTTTCGCTGGGGATGGGGATGGGATTGCCTTATGAAATGTATAGAATATATGAAATGTATGTAATGGAATGAAATGTACTTTGGTTCCCCTTCCCGCTTCTCCTCTCTGACCCTTTGCCCCAAAAAGAATGTGACCCGAGGATTACTGTAACAGGGAGGAAATCCTTTGTCCTCCCGAAACGGTCCATATTTACATTTGCATGGGCCCGTGATTGATTCCTTCTCAAACTTACTTTCAGAGCAGACAGTAAGATGAGGGATGGGTCAACAGAAACTCAGGGATAAAAGGCTGATTGTATCATTTTTAGGTATTTGTTGATCCCCCTTGTTTACAAGGCCCTGAGGTCCAAATACCATCAATAGCTCCTTTTTCATACTTCCTCCCAAATCCAATCATAGACCAGGAAACTCATTGTTCCCCTTGTCTGTCACCCCGCCGATGAGGACAAAGACTCGAATAACAGCTGGCGGATGCCCCCTGGGCACACCATTTCCCCTGAGCTGTCAAGCTTCGTCCCGCCTCCTGGCTGCTGATTGGACCATCTTCGGAGGCGCTAGGAAGGCGCCGATTGGCCCCCTAGAGGCAGCGGAGCTCGCTGATTGGGCAGGAGGCGGGACGCACAGCCAAGCCTCCTCCCAGCTGTTCCACGGCCAGCCAATCAGAGCGAAGCCGGCCGGCAGAGGGCGGGCGGGATTTTTGAAAATGTTTCCTTTGTCTGTACGCTATAAAAATGCCTGGAAATTCTGTAAATGGGATGCTTGTATGTGAATGATCACTGCAATCGCATCCTTTTCAGCTGAATCGCAGAAATAAACGCTTCGGTCACTGAACCTCTTCAGCCTCCGGTGAGATTAATTTTTAATATTTTTCGCTCTTTGGATTGGCTTTCGCTGGCTGCTCACCGAGGTCAAAGGACCCCTTTAGCGGTCTTCAGGGATCTCTCCCGCTGGGAGACCCCCAAAAAGACCTTCTTGCATCAACACCAGAAGCACTCCAAGTGGCCAGATACTGGTCAAAGGACATTTAATCAACTACCAAACACAAATTTTGTATTTTGTCTGTTTGTTTGCTTTGTTCTGTTAGAAATGTAATATAATTTGACTGGTTGTCCTGACACGACAAATAAATAAAATTAAACATGAGCCAACAATGGAGCCCCCGGTGGCGCAGTGGGTTAAACCCCTGTGCCGGCAGGACTGAAGACCGACAGGTCGCAGGTTCAAATCTGGGGAGAGGCAGATGAGCTCCCTCTATCAGCTCCAGCTCCTCATGCGGGGACATGAGAGAAGCCTCCCACAAGGATGATAAAAACATCAAATCATCCAGGCGTCCCCTGGGCAACATCCTTGCAGACGGCCAATTCTCTTACACCAGGAGCGACTTGCAGTCACTCCTGACACAACAAAAAAAAATCTTTTTATCCCAGACTAGCTGTACCCACCACACGTTTCTGTAGCCAACTTTCCCTCCTTCTTTCTCTCCTTTCTTTTCTTCCTTCCCTTTTTTTCATTTTTTCTCCCCTAGCTTCCTTCTCTTCCCTTCCTCACCCTTTTCTTTCCCTTCCTCCTTCTCCCTTTTCTTCCTTCTCTACCTATTCTTGGACTGCAACTCCCAGCAGTCCTCCTGATCAATCTATCTACATATCTATCTCTATCTAATCTGGAGGATTCCCTATGGAATCCTTCCCTTCAAACTACAAGAAAGGCGAGTCCATCTGAACATTAGGAAGAACTTTCTGACTGTGAGAGCTGTTCAGCAGTGGAACTCTCTGCCCCGGAGTGTGGTGGAGGCTCCTTCTTTGTAAGCTTTTAAACAGAGGGTTGTTGTAGGTTTTTTCAGGCTATATGGCCATGTTCTAGAGGCATTTCTCCTGACGTTTTGCCTGCATCTATGGCAAGCATTCTCAAAGGTAAACGGAGGCTGAATGGCCATCTGTCAGGGGTGCTTTGAATGCAATGTTCCTGCTTCTTGGCAGGGGGCTGGACTGGATGGCCCATGAGGTCTCTTCCAACTATGATTCTATGAATCCGTAGGGATACCAAAGTGCTTGTTTATAAAGCTATTGTCCTCCCAACCCTGCTATATGCCTGCGAGACGTGGACTGTCTACAGACGTCACATGCAACTCCTGGAACAATTCCATCAGCGCTGCCTCCGAAAAATCCTGCAAATCTCTTGGGAAGACAAGCGGACAAATGTTAACGTACTGGAAGAAGTAAAGACCACCTTACTTACTTAGATGATCTCTCATTGGACGAGTAGGATAGTCTTCCAGGGTCAGTATTCTTGTGGGTCTGTTCATCTGCATCTTCTTCCGCAGTGAGGGCATTGGTTTCCAGGTGGAAGGTGGTTTTGGTCGGGGTTGGCTTGGCGCGCCTTCCTCTTGGCATGTTTCTCTCTTTCATCCTCCATTCGTGCGTCTCTAAATTCTGCAGCACTGCTGGTCACAGCTGACCTCCAGCTGGAGCGCTCAAGGGGCAGGGCTTCCCAGTTCTCAGTGTCTACGCCAGAGTTTTTAAGGTTGGCTTTGAGCCCTTCTTTAAATCTCTTTTCCTGTCCTCCAACATTCCGTTTCCCGTTCTTGATTTCGGAATAGAGCAACTGCTTTGGGAGACGGTGGTCGGGCATCCGGACAACGTGGCCGGTCCAGCAGAGTTTATGGCGGAGGACCATTGTTTCAATGCTGGTGGTCTTTGCTTCTTCCAGAACACTGACGTTTGTCTGCTTGTCTTCCCAAGGCAGCGCTGATGGAATCGTTCCAGGAGTTGCATGTGACGCCTGTAGACAGTCCACATCTCGCAGGCATATAGCAGGGTTGGGAGGACAATCCAATCCATGACCACCAGCATTGAAGCGATGGTCCTCCACCATCAACTCTGCTGGACCAGCCACATTGTCCGGATGCCCAACTACTCTGAACTAAAGAACGGGAAAAAGGAATATTGGAGGATAGGAAAAGAGATTTAAAGATGGGCTCAAATCCAACCTTAAAAACTCTGGCATAGACATAAAGAATTGGGAAGCCCTGGCCCTTGAGTTCTTTAGCTGGAGGTCAGCTGTGACTAGCAGTGCTGTAGAATTTGAAGAGGCACAAATAGAGGGCGAAAGAGAGAAACATGCCAAGAGGAAGGTGCGGCAAGCCAACCCTGACCGGGACTGCCTTCCACCTGGAAACCGATGCCCTCACTGCAGGAGAACATGCAGGTCAAGACTAGGGCTCCACAGTCACCTATGGACGCACTGCCAGAACACCGAACTTATAAGTAAGTATATTGCTTTGTGTTTCTTTATGACTCTACAGCCACCTACGAACCCACTGCCAGTATAACGAACCTGGAAGATAATCTTACTCGATCAACAAGGGATTGCCTAAGTAAGAAGCTCCAGCAGGACCCCCTAAATCTGTGTACTGCTTCACTCTGTCCCCCCAAAAAACCCCATTTCACCATATCCTCTGCCACACAATCCACCAGATTCACCCCAATTGCAGACAGACTGAGTTGGTTTAAAATTTGTTTTTATTTTTGGCTGCTATGGTCTTCCTCGAAAATGGGCAAAACCTCAGCTCAAGGGTTTTGCCATGAACCCGGCAAGCAAGGGACTGAAATTATGCTCCTTTTTGCATTCTGTGCCGCCGGTGGGAGCCATTATTTAATCCCTCTGTACTCTCCCTCCTCTTCCGTCCTAAATATTGTGCGGTTATACAGCACCGAAACTACGCCCAGCAGCCAAGCGGCTATGACTCCAGCCAAAAAGACTGCGCAGGACATCAGACCTGCAAAGATCAGAACTCTGATGCTGAAGTGTAAAATGCAGGCTTGGTCCAGTTGTGCTTCGGCCTCCATGATTGGTTTGCCAGTTAAATTTTTTGGTAGGTGGCAAATGGTCTCCTCTGGATCTGTAAGTGGTGGGGGAAACACAAGTGAGAACAGACACACAATCTCTCCACCAGTGGCTGCTATTTCTCTAACTTCTCACCCTTCAACCCTCTTGATTTGGCTGGGACAAACCCAATTGGGTGGTTGTACGTTTTTGGGGCTGTCTGGCCATGTTTATCCTCTCCTGACGTTTCACCTGCATCCATGGCAGGCATCCTCAGAGGTTGTGAGGTCTGTTGGAAACTAGGAAAATTGGGTTTATATATCTGTGGAAAGTCCAGGGTGGGAGAAAGAACTCTTGTCTGTTGGAGCTAGGTGTGAATGTTTTAATTGGCCACCTTGATTAGCATTTGATGGCCTGACAGTTTTTAGGTGTGGCTTGTTACTGCCTGGGAGAATCCTTTGTTGAGAGGTGAGATGTTCCTGATTGTTTCTTGTCTGGAGTTCCCCTGTGTTGAGTTGTTCTTTTTTTTACTTCCTCGGTTATTTACTGCCCATATAATTTATGTAGGTCTCTTCTAACCACCCTAGGATTTATCCACATGATATAACATATAAACCAATATTATTCTACAGTTTCCAACAGAACCTTCATATTAATAATATTATTATGTTATTGGCCATAGCATTACCGCCACGCCATTAGATCATAATGTAGTGCCAGCTCATCCCCTCATCCTCTTTCTACTCCTGTCGTATATCTACTCACACTGATCACATTGCTGAATACGCCCACTAATTTTCTTACTACTCTACTTACTATACCTCTACTTTAATTCTCATTAAACGTACTATATCTATCTTTTCTGTCTCTACACTTTAGCTTTACTTGCTGTTCTCGCAGCTTTCTTCTCTCCTTTTTCCTCTCCTGCTTCCTTCCTCTTTTCTTCTTTCTCTCCTTCCTTCCCTCCCTCTTTTCTTCCTTCCCCTTTTCTTTTTCCTCTTTCTCTTTCTTTCCTTCTCTCTCTTTTCCTTCCTTCCTTCGCTCTTTGCTTCCATGCTTCCTTTCTCTCTTCTTTCTTTTTTCTCTTCTTCTTTTCTCTTTCTTTCTTTCTCTCCTTTCTTTCTTTCTTTCTCCCCTTCCTTCCCTCCCTCTTCCTTTCCTTTCTTTTATTGTCATTTAGCTTTTCATTTTAGCTTTTTTGGTTTTTTAAGTCCTTTCCACTGTTTTTGGGGGGTGGGTTTATGAGTGATGGTCACTCGTTGGTCTGTTAGGGTGTAGTGTCCAAATTTCATGTCAATTCATCCAGTGGTTTTTGAGTTATGTTAATCCCACAAACGAAGCTTTGTATTTATTTTATTTATTTATTTACGATATTTATAGCCAGCCTTTCTCAGCCATACGGTGACTCAAGGCAGGTTACAGGTTGGCATAATTTGATGCCAGGCATTCATAAAACTGCAATTAAAAACAATCAACATGACAGTATAAAACATATATAAAAACCATTAAAACATATAATCATTGGTGTCATCCTGTTAAAAACGTTATCCAGTAACATCGTCTGGCCATTCCATGTTCATCATTCGTAGTTCCATGTTATCTATTCCGCTGCCTTCTCAAAAGCTTGCTCAAAGAGCCAGGTTTTTACTTTTTTTGGAAAGTCAGGTGGGAGGAGTGCCTATCTAATATCCCTGGGGAGGGAGTTCATAGCCGGGGGGGCACCAGTGAGAAGGCCCTGTCCTTCGTCTCTGCCAGGTAGGCGGGATCGAGAGCAGGGGCTCCCCAGACAATCTTAAGCTCCTAGATGGTTCATAGGAGGAGATACGTTCTGATAGGTAAGCTATCTATCACTACCTCTGAGGATGCTGCCATAGATGCAGGCGAAACGTCAGGAGAGAATGCTTCTAGAACATGGCCATACAACCTGAAACATTTACAACAACCCAGTGATTCTGGCCATGAAAGCCTTCAACATTACATACAACCCCAATTAGTCTTTTTTGTCCTTCTTTAACAGTTTTCTCTTATTTTGCTGATTTTCCTCCTTTGTCATCTGCTTACACTAGTGTTTCTCAACCTTCCTAATGCCGTGACCCCTTAATACAGTTCCTCATGTTGTGGTGACCCCCCAACCATGAAATTATTTTAGTTGCTACTTCACAGCAACAGGATGTATTCACTGGACCAAATTTGGCACAAATACCCGATATGCCCAAATTTGAATACTGGTGGGATTGGGGGGGGGGGGGTTGATTTTGTCATTTGGGAGTTGTAGTTGCTGGGATGTATACTCCACCTACAATCAAAGAGCATTCTGAACTCCACAAATGATGGAATTGAAGCAAACTCCCCACACAGAACCCCCATGTCCAACAGAAAAATCCCATGGAGGGATTTGGGAGGAATTGACAGTGATTTAGGAGAAATATAGTTCACCGACCTCCAGAGAGCACTGTGAACCCAAATGACTATGGATCTGGACCAAATTTGGCACAAATACCTGAAACATTGAAATTTGAATATTGGTGGTGTTTGGGGGGGGGGGTTGATTTTGTCATTTGGGAGTTGTAGTTGCTGGGATTTATAGTTCACCTATGATAAAAAACACTCTGAACTCAGCCCACAATGGGTCTGCACCAAACTTGGCACACTACCTACATGGCCAACATTGAATGCTGATGGGGTTAAGGGGGCTGTTTTTGAATTCTGGGAGTTGTAATTCACCAACACTCATTCAGTCTGTACCAAACTGGTGATGGGACTAGTAAATTTGTCACACATACCCAACATGCCAAACCCCACCAATACTGGTGGGGTTTCTAGGTGACTGACCTCAGAGGTTGGGAGTTATAGTTCACCTACATTAACAGAGCAGTATGCATCTAACTGATGGATCTGGGCCAAACTTGGCACAAATACCCAGTATAACCAACTTTGAATACTGAAGTCATTTGGCTGATCACCAGTCTTTAAACTTTTTGCTTTTTTCTTTCTCAAGAAAGAATCACAGGGCTCATCCATAAAAGGGGAAGGTCTGCTAGGTAAATGGGATTTAAATATCTGTGGAACGTCCAGGGTGGGAGAAAGAACTCTTGTCTGTTTGAGGCAAGTGTGAATGTTGCCATTGATCACCTTGATTAGCACTGAATACCCTTGCAGCTACAAAGCTTGGCTGCTTCCTGCCTGGGGGAATCCTTTGTTGGGAGGTGATTAGCTGTCCTTGGTTGTTTCTTGTTTGAGATCCCAGTCTTTGAGTGTTGTTCTTTATTTACTGACAGCAAATAAAGAACAACAGCAGAGAATGCTTCTGGAACATGACCGTATAGGCCGGAAAACTCACAGCAACCCAATTTCCAGTTTTTGTTTTGTTTCTACTCAGGTTTGCATACCAACTCTTTAACTGCCTTGTCTCAATGCGATGGAATCCTGGGAGCTATAGTCCTACAAGGCCTTTAGCCTTCTCTGCACAAAGAGGGCTGAGGCTACCCCTCACCAAACTCACCAAATCTCCCTTTTTCCTGAACACTGTGATTGTTATAATCGGTGGAGAAAATGCAAATGTACTTACAAATAAGTACCAGGGTTGAATGAAAAGTAATGCCTCCACCTTTGTAACTTCTCAACAGATGGCAGTACTGTATGTGGCAGGTACTGGCTTGTTCAGTAGACTCTCCTCTACAGTTCCATTTTGGCAAGAAGCCTTAGCATTGAACGGTTGTATTGTTATAGTGCGAAGTATGGGACCCTGCGCAGACGGTTGGTCAATGCGACTTAAGCGATGTGCAGTCACTGAATTCTTGACAGCAGAAGGTCTCACCCCAAAGGAGATTCATCAAAGAATGCAAGCTGTTTATGGTGATTGTGTTGATGTGAGTACTGTGCGTCGTTGGGCGAGTAAGTTTAAAGATGTTGAGGTGGGAACATCTGACTTGCGTGACAAAGAGTTGGACATCCTGTGACAGCAACCACCGAGTTTCACAAGCAAAATGTTGACAGATTGATTCAGGACGATCATCGTATCACTCAGAGAGAAATGTTAAGCATAATCAGCATTTCACAAGAACGTGTAGGTGTGGGTCACATTATTGCTTTGCTTGGCGATCAGAAGATCTGTCCACGAGGCTGACGCCTGAAATGAAATTGCACAGACTTGAAACTTCAGAGACTGGATCTCACTGAAGTTGAGCATGTCGTCGACCCGCCCCCAATAAGGGATGGTAACTTATAGTTCTGTAAAGGGCAAGGGTACCAGACTGCACAATAGGGGTTAAGTCTTGGTCAATTTGCCAAGACACTAACAACAACAAGGACCCCATGAGGCTTTCGGGGAGCAGATTGGTCCCTGGGCTCCAGCCCTTGGAAAGAGTTACAGTTTTCCAAGGGCCAAGGACAAGTCTCAACCTCAACGCTGCAGGACTCCCTTGGCTGGCTCAGTGGAATCTTTTGGACCTTTCCTCATGAGTTTCATGCTTTTAATCATTCCCCATGGAACCTTTTGTTTCCCTTTCAAAAACATACTTTTATATGGACCTTTCCATATATGACACAGAGAGTAGACTGTTTGCCATTATAAGCATATGGTTCCTGCAACATCAACCCTATATATATTTTCCTTTGTGCTAGTGGCCTTCCCTTGACCTTTTTCATTCCCTTCCAAGGACACACACATTTATGAATTTCCCTCGTATGAACTATGGACACATGTTTTTCTGAAATTATTATTTTAATCCATTTCTCAGGCGGATGGGGGGGGGGGGGATGCTTGATATGAATTTCTTGTGATTCCTATATTTCCCCATGTATTTTCCCCTCCTTTTTCCCCTGGCTCCAAGCCCATTGCCCCCTTCCCCTCCCTTCGGGGAAAATCATCAAGGAAGCTGCCAGCTGTTCTGAAAGGGCAATCAGCAATCACAAAAGAACCCTTATCTTGATATTTGTACATGGAACCATAAACTTGAGAGCCTTTGTTTGGTCTTGGAGTTGGGCCGCCAGACAAAGAATTTCGTTTGGCAAACTTTTGATCACTTCCCATTGGGGACAAAAGACCCTCGAACAGTCTTTTCCCCCGAAACGGAAAACTCAGATAAAGCAATCATCGCTTTCACAAACCCATCAAAAGACAATAGACTTGGCATCTTTCACAGGCCGGTTTCTTGGACTCAAGACCCCTAAGGCATGAAATCCTATAGTCCACTCATAAATCCATTGTTTCTTCTTCATCCTGCCTCCCTCTTCCTGATTCGCCAGAGCGCTGAGGCGGTAAGAACTTTCTGATTGGCTCCTGCGCAGCGGAGGAGCTCTGTGATTGGCTGTGGCACAGGGAGGGCGACCGCGCCTCCTCCCAGCTGTTATCGCATCAGCCAATCCCCTTCGAGCCGGGAGGAAGGCGGAGGGCGGTAATTTTGAAACCTCTAAGCCTGTATTCCCTATAAAAATGCCTCTGATCTCTGTAACCACATGCTTTGTAGGCAAATGATTGCTACATTGCATCCTTTTCAGCTGAATCGCTAATAAAAACACCTCGGTGCCGCTTCTTCAACTTTGGTGAGATTTCTTTTGGATTTTTTAAGAAAATGAGATTGCTGAAATCAGGCTTCTCTGAACTTGCCAAAGTAGCAATCCCTCTTTGGTAGGGTCCCAGGGTCTTTTGTCCTGGGGCGGACTCTCCTAAAGTTCCTATCAACTTCATTACCACCATACAACATCCTCCATACAGTCCAGATTTAGCACCGTCTGACTTCCATCTGTTCCCAATAATGAAAGAAGGTCTGCAGGGACATCATTATGCTTCTGATGAAGACGTTGAGACAACTGGGAGACGCTGTTTGCGGAAACAGAGTGTCGACTTCTTCCGTGATGGCTTCAGAAAACTTGTTCATCGTTGGCAGAAATATATCCAATTGTCTGGTGATTATGTGGAAAAGTTAATAGTGGTAATTAAAGAGCACATTCTAAGGATTATTTCTGTGTTTTATTTATTAAAATATTCCCATCCAAACCCAAGTAATGAAGGTGGAGGCATTACTTTTCATTCAACCCTCGTATATCCTTAGCTAGTTCTGGAATAATACCTTACTCCAGAATTATAGCACTATGATTCCACTTCAACACAAAGCTCTTACCTAGTAATTCCCGTCCAAGCAGTGGCATATTCATCCAGTTGATAAAATCCAGCAAGGCACAATCGCAATACCAGGAATTATCCGTCATTCTCAAAACGCGAAGAGTGGGCACTTTTTCAAAGACTGAGATGTCAATAATTTCCAAGCTGCAGGTACTGATATCCAAATAAGTCAACAAGCTATTACTAATGAAGGAGTTCGGATCGATTTGCTTAATGGTGGGATTTCTGGAGAGATTCAGAAATACCAACCGGTTCAGTTCCGAGAAAGTGTGGGGAGAGATGGCGTTGAGTTTGTTCCCACTGAGGTCCAAGTAGGCCAGCTTGCTGATACCCGGGAAGATGAATTCATAGTCCATTTCCAATTCGTTGTCGCTCCAATCCAAGTAGAGCAGTTCGTTGAGAAAGGTGATTTCTAAGGGCTGGATGTTGGCAAAATGGTTTTCAGCCAAAATCATGTACCTGGCTGTTGGGGGAATGTTGTCTGGGATTTCATACAAGTTCTTTCTCCTGCAATTCACTGTCCACTTTTCACAGATGCAGAGAGCTGGACAAGGAGTGGTTGGGGGTTGCGCTTCAATGGGACCGTTGGACCATAAAGCTGCAAAGCAACAAACAGAAAACAAAAAGAGAGGTCCCATTCTGCCTGCTCCTTCCTTCCTTCCTTCCTTCCTTCCTTCCTTCCTTCCTTCCTTCCTTCCTTCCTTCCTTCCTTCCTCCCTCCCTTCCTTCCTTCCCAGCCTTTCAAATGCTCCTGCTGGACCCATCCCAAAGGCTGACCTCAGTGACTCTCCCTTCCTTTTATGACATCACCCCATTGGGTCACTATCCCAAAAGTGACCCAATCAACCGAGTGTCTTCAGTAGACAAGAGCATTTATTGGGTTGTTGTAGGTTTTTTCGGGCTATATGGCCATGGTCTAGAGCAGTGGTTCTCAACCTTCCTAATGGCTGACCCCTTAATACAGTCCCTCATGTTGTGGTGACCCCCAACCATAATATTGTTTTCATTGCTACTTCATAACAGTCATTTTACTACTGTTATAAATCATAATGTAAATATCTGATATGCAGGATGCATTTTCATTCACTGGACCAAACTGGGCACAAATACCCAATACACCCAAATGTGAATGCTAGTGGGGTTGGGGGAGGATTGATTTTGTAATTTGGGAGTTGTAGTTGCTGGGATTTATAGTTCACTTATAATCAAAGAGCATTCTGAACTCCACCGACGATGGAATTGAACCCATGACCAACAGAAAATGCTAGAACGGCTTGGTGTGCACTGACCTTGAGTTTGGGAGTTGTGGTTCACCTATATCCAGAGAACACTGTGGACTCAAGCAATGATGGATCTGGATCAAACTTGGCAGAAATACTCAATATGCCCAAATGTGAACACTGGCAGAGTTTGGAGAAAATATACCTTGCCATTTGGGAGTTCTGGTTGGTGGGATTTATAGTTCACCTACAATCTGAGACCATGCTGAACCACACCAACGAGAGAATTGCGCAAACTTCCCACATGGAATCCCCATGACCATCAGAAAATACTGTGTTTTCTTATGGTCTTTGGTGACCCCTCTGACACCCCCTCGCGACCCCCTCAGGGGTCCCGACCCCCAGGTTGAGAAACACTGGTCTAGAGGCATTCTCTCCTGACGTTTCGCCTGAATCTATGGCAAGCATCCTCAGGATTCTGGCCATGAAAGCCTTCGACAATACAAGAGTATTTATTTATTATTTACTAGCAGTCCCCTGCCACGCATTGCTGTGACCCAGTCTGTGTATATGTGTTTTGTGTGCTTATGTATGTGTATACATGTGATTTTGTGCATGTGTTTTAATTTTTTTTTATTTTTTGGCTTTTAAAGTCTCTTCCACTTTCCCCCCAGCATTTTTATGAGTTTTTTATTTATCGTGTCAGGAGCAACCAGACAATTGTATTACATTTTTAACAAAACAAACAGACAAAACACAAAGTTTGCAAGCTTGGTAGCTGATTAAATGTCCTTTGACCAGTATCTGGCCACTTGGAGTGCCTCTGGTGTTGCCGCAAGAAGGTCCTCCATTGTGCATGTGGCAGGGCTCAGGTTGCATTGCAGCAGGTGGTCAGTGGTTTGCTCTTCTCCACACTCGCATGTCATGGATTCAACTTTGTAGCCCCATTTCTTAAGGTTGGCTCTGCATCTCGTGGTTGCCAGAGCGCAGTCTGTTCAGCGCCTTCCAAGTCGCCCAGTTTTCTGTGTGCCCAGGGGGGAGTCTCTCATTGGTATCAGCCATTGATTGAGGTTCTGGGTTTGAGCCTGCCACTTTTGGACTCTCGCTTGCTGGGGTGTTCCAGCGTGTCTCTGTAGATCTTAGAAAATGATTTCTTGATTTAAGTCGTTGACGTGCTGGCTGATACCCAAACAGGGATGAGCTGGAGATGTCACTGCCTTGGTCCTTTCACTATTGGCTGCTACTTCCCGGCGGATGTCAGGTGGTGCAATACTGGCTAAACAGTGTAATTTCTCCAGTGGTGTAGGGCCCAGACACCCCGTGATAATGCGGCATGTCTCATTAAGAGCCACATCCACATTGTTTTAGCGTGGTGAGATGTGTTCCACGCTGGGCATGCATGCTCAGCAGCAGATTAGCACAGCGCAAGGGCAGATGTCTTCACTGTGTCTGGTTGTGATCCCCAGGTTGTGCCAGTCAGCTTTCGTATGATATTATTTCTAGGACCCACTTTTTGCTTGATACCTTCAATTGTGCAATATACCGTATATACTCAAGTATAAGCCGACCCGAATATAAGCTGAGGCACCTAATTTTACCACAAAAAACTGGGAAAACATATTGACTCAAGTATAAGTTGAGGGTGGGAAATGCAACAGGTACTGGTCAATTTCAAAACGAAAATAGATACCAATAAAATTACATTAATTGAGGCATCGGTAGGTTCAATGTTTTTGAATATTTACATAAAACTGTAATTTAAGATAAGATTGTCCAACTCTGATGAAACCATCATTCTAACCTTCTTCCATGTAAATGTGCTGATGTAGCCTTCTAATAATAATAAAGAGAGTAAAATAATAAAAGTAATAAAAATAATAATAGAGTAAAATAATGGAAATGTAATGCTAACAGTAATAGAGTAATAATAAGTAAAATAAGAAATGTTGTAAATAAATAGAATAAATAATAAGAAAGATCAGACTCAAAATACAATATTTAGAGACCCACATAATTCCTTCCACTGAACTAACTCTTGCTATTGTGTCCAAACTTCATGTCAATTCATCCAGTGGTTTTTGAGTTATGTTAATCCCACAAACAAACATTACATTTTTATTTTATATAGATTTCCAATATTTGTACGTCCTTCTCAACCCCCGAGGCGGGACTCAGGGCAGCTTACAACGGCAACAATTCGATGCCAAGACATACAAAAACACAATACAACATGACATAACAGAGTAGATAAAAACATTAGGTTCAAATCCATTTAAAAAATTGCTATCAACCATATTGCCATATCCGAGTTCAATTCAGCAACCAACGACCCAGTCCGAAGCCTGTCCATGGTTCGTTCTAAAACATTGCAATTGCTGTCAAGCCTGTTATCTAAGCGCCTGGTCCCAAAACCATGTTTTGAGCTTCTTCCTAAAGGAAAGGAGGGATGGAGCTGATCTAATTTCGCTGGGGAGGGTATTCCACAGGCGGGAGACCACCACCAAGAAGGCCCTGTCTCTCGTCTCCACCAAACGTGTTTGCGAAGAAGGCGGGATCAAGAGCAGGGCCTCCCCGGACGATCTTAAACTCCGAGGCGGGATGTAGAGGGAGATATGTTCGGACAAGTAAACTGGGTGACACCGCACCCTGAAACTCCGGATAATCTCCCCCAGCAGTTTCATGTAGATGTTAAACAATATGGGAGGGTGTTCCACAGGCTGGAGGCCACCACCAAGAAGGCCCTGTCTCTCGTCCCCGCCAAACGTGTTTGCCAAGAAGGCGGGATCGAGAGCAGAGCCTCCCTGGATGATCTTAAAACTCCAAGGCGGGACGTAGAGGGAGATATGTTCGGACAAGTAAACTAGGTGACACCGCACCCCAAAACTCCGGATGATCTCCCCCAGTGGTTTCATGTAGATGTTAAACAACATGGGAGACAGTATTTAACCCTGAGGAACCCCACAAAACATTGGTTATGGGATTGAACAGGTGTCTCCCAGACTTTAGGATGCTCCCGCAGTCCACACTATGGAAGGTTTTGTGGCAGACCTGGCAGCCCAGTGCCTGCTACAGCACTAAGCAGCAACCTGTTGTGATAGACTGGAGGCGCATCATTGCTCCTGGCTTATAGTCCAAGTGGATGATTTCACAAAGAGACTGGCTCCTGAGGTCACTCAGGGTTGGTCCCAGCAGTGAGCCCATTTGAAGACCAGTTCATGCAGAAACAGGGTGTACAGGATGGGGACACCCATTCTGCCAACGTTTTCCTGTTCACCAGTTTTGTCGCTCGTTTTCCTCCTGGCGATGCAGTGGGCAGGAACAGCCTATGGCTGTCCCAAGAACTGCACCTGTGAACCGTGGGCGATGAACTGCACCAACCAGGGCTTGAGGGATTTGCCAGAAGGCATCCCCCCCGTGACCCGGCACCTCATTCTGCGCAAAAACCACATCACGACACTGCCGATATTGGAGATGACCTATCTCAACGAACTGGTCTACCTGGACTGCAGCCACAACTGGATCACCATGAACGAGATGTACCAGTTCCCTTTTGTGGAAAAGCTCTCTTACTTGGACCTGAGTTACAACCGAATTGCCCACCTCAACAGCAAGACGTTCTCCAGGGTGACCATGCTGCTGCTGCTCAATCTCTCCAACAACCCGACGATGCAGGTGATCAACCCCCACTCCTTTGATCACAACCGCTTGCTGCGATACGTGGACATGAGCAGCTGCAACCTGACCCAGCTCAGTGCCGAACTGTTCCGGGATCAGTACAACCTTCACTCCTTGGGGCTGAGGAACAACCCCTTTAACTGCGACTGCAATTTACTGGAATTCATCAACTGGCTGCTCAAGCCCAAAGTGAATTGGGAGGTCATTGGTGAGGCCTTTCTGTATGACTCTTCTTTGCATCAGAAACCTATGTAGGCAGTCCCTGAGTTACAAACATCCAGTTTACGCCGTTAAGAACAGCGATGAGACAATAGGAAGTGAGAGGAATCATGAACTTGATGATCATGCCTTCTAACCCTTCATTAATGACTTAGATGAAGGGTTAGAACAGTGGTTCTCAACCTGTGGGTCCCCAGGTCTTTTGAACTACAACTACCAGAAATCCCAGCCACTTTACCAGCTGGGTAAAATTGAAGGCCAAAACATCTGGTCAAGAACCACTGGGTTAGAAGGAATGATCGTCAATGGTTTGTAGGTTTTTCAGGCTGTATGGCCATGTTCTAGAAGCATTCTCTCCAGACGTTTCGCCTGCATCTATGGCAAGCATCCTCAAAGGTTATGAGGTACTTGCCATAGATGCAGGCAAAATGTCAGGAGATAATGCTTCTAGAACATGGCCATATAGCCCAAAAAACCTACAACCCAGTGATTCCAGCCATGAAAGCCTTCGACAATACAATGATCATCAAGTCTGCAGATGACACCAAATTGGGAGGGAGAGCCAATACCCCAGAAGACAGGAGCAGAATTCAAAACGATCTTCACAGATTAGAGAGATGATTGGTCAAAACTCACAAAATGAAGTTCAACAGGGAGAAATGCAGGATACTCCACTTAGGCAGAAAAAAGGAAATGCAAAAGTACAGAATGGGGAACGCATGGCTTGAGAGCAGGATGTGTGAAAAAGATCTTGGAGTCCTCGTGGACAACAAGTTAAACATGAGCCAACAATGTGATGCAGTGGCAAAAAAAGCCAACGGGATTTTGGTCTGCATCAATAGGAGTCTAGTGTCTAGGTCCAGGGAAGTCATGCTTCCCCTCTATTCTGTCTTGGTCAGACCTCATTTGGAATACTGTGTCCCATTCTGGGCACCACAACTGGATGGAGATGCTGACAAGTTGGAATGTGTCCAGCGGAGGGCGACTTAAATGATCAAAGGGTCTGGAGAACAAGCCCTATGAGGAGAGGCTTAAAGAGCTGAGCATGTTCAGCCTGCAAAAGAGAAGGCCTGCATAAATAGGAGTCTAGTGTATGGATCCATGGAAGTCATACTACCCCTCTATTCTGCCTTGGTCAGAACTTATCTGGAGTACTGTATCCAATTCTGGGCACCACAGTTGAAGGGAGATGTTGACAAGCTGGAGTGTGTCCAGAGGAGGGCGACTAAAATGATCAAGTGTCTGGAGAACAAACCCTATGAGGAGCAGTTTAAAGAGCTAGGCATATTTAGGCTTCAGAAGAATCATAAAATCATAGAATTGTAAGAAACTCCGTGGGCCTTCCAGTCCAACCCCATTCTGCCAAAAAGCAGGACAATCACATTCAAAGCACCCCCAACTGATGGCCATCCAGCCTCTGTTTAAAAGCCCCCATAGAAGGAGCCTCCAAGAAAAGGCTGAGAGATAGCCATGTATAAAGATGTGTGAGAGGAAGTCATAGGGAGGAGGGAGCCAGCTTGTTTTCTGCTGCCCTGGAGACTAGGATGCGGAACAATGGCTTCAAACTACAAGAGAGGGGATTCCACCTGAACATTAGGGAGAACTTCCTGACTGTGAGAGCTGTTCAGCAGTGGAACTCTCTGCCCCGGAGTGTGGTGGAGGCTCCTTTGGAGGCTTTTAAACAGAGGCTGCCGTAAAGTAGGGACACTCCACCCACTCGAGTGGGTGGAGCGTTCCTACTTCATGGATTTTCACTTATTGCGGGTAGTCCTGGAATGGAACATCTGCGATAAGTGAGGGAACACTGTGTACTTTAAATATGTACTTGTTCCAACTTACATACAAATTCTGGTGTCTCAAATATTAGACCCGTTTCTGGGTATATTTGACCTGCTGGTTCCAAAAATTACCCGTTTACCCCATCAGCTCTGGTTCTTGAGATAAAGAACATGTGCCATATACCAGTTGCTATCTGCTTGCCCATAAAAAAATCAGAACATTTTAATGTAATGAAGGAAATATATTAAAAATTTAAAGACAACTGTATTATATGAAAATCATACCAAAAACACACATTTATGGTACAAACATTACGATACACATCTAAGACACTGGAGTTGATGAAGTCTATCCAGTGCAATTTTCTGAATCGGGAACAAGTGTGAAAACAAAGACACTAGGAATTTTTTGTTGTTGGGCTGTGTTGTAGTAGTAGTAGTAGTAGTAGTAGTTGTTGTTGTGCCCTACTTTTGCACCATCATGAAAGAACAAAATAATTTGTATTGTCGAAGGCTTTCATGGCTGGAATCACTAGGTTCTTGTGGGTTTTTTCGGGCTATAGGGCCATGTTCTAGAGGCATTTCTCCTGACATTTCGCCTGCATCTTTGGCAAGCATCCTCAGAGGTAGTGAGGTCTGTTGGAAATAGGACAATGGGTTTATATATCTGTGGAATGGCTGGGGTGGGGCAAAGAGCTCTTCCTTGCTAGAGCTAGGTGTGAATGTTTCAACTGACCACCTTCATTAGCATTTGAAGGCCTGGCTGAGCCTGGGAAAATCTTATGTTGAGAGGTGTTAAGATGTGCCTGGTTGTTTCCTCTCTGCTGTTTTGCTTCATTACATGCTTGTTTACCCCTGCAGATCCGGAAAATACTGCTTGTAATGAGCCCGGACTACTGAAATTTGTGCCGATCCTACAAGCTGAAGAATACCTTCATGAACAATGCCTGCAAGAGACTATTTTAGTGGATCACGGAAGGACAGCTTTGTACACCTTTGGCTTCTTCGTGGGAGGAACTCTAGCCGCCTGGATCTTGGGGGTTGTATCTGTGATATTTTACCACCCTATATTCAAACGAGAGGACGATTTGGATGAAGAACGAGAGTACATAGGGATTTAGAAAGGCTCTCTGGGGAATTGACATGTTATGCAAAAGGACCCTCATTTCAACCTTTGGCCTTGATTGCAACATGTCATTGCGAAATCACTAAATCTCGTCCTTTTGTGCTTTCTTTCTTTACTTGATTTATATTTCACTTTTTAGGTGTGGGGTTGGTTATTTCCATATTTTCCCTTTTTAGAGTCAACAAAGAATGGCAAAGGATCACCTCAAGGTGTCCAGAACAGATATGATAATATTGACTTTGAGAGCCATTCAGCAGTGGAACACTCTGCCCTGGAGTGTGGTGGAGGCTCCTTCTTTGGAAGCTTGTAAACAGAGGCTGGATGGCCATCTGTCAGGGGTGCTTTGAATGCAATATTCCTGCTTCTTGGCAGGGGGTTGGACTGGATGGTTCATGAGGTCTCTTCCAACTCTAGGATTCTATGATTCTATAAGAGTTGGATGAAGGGTAAGGGTGAGCCAAGTGACCCATTTAAGGTGGAATCAGGTTCGAACCAGAAATGTGTTACTGCCCCAACCTTATTCTCCATCTTCATTGCTATGATACTGCAACTTGTTGATGGGAAGCTACCCACCGGTGTAGAAATAATCTATTAGACAGATGGTAAGCTATTTAATCTCAGCAGACTGAAAGCCAAACCCAGGGTGACAATAACATCTGATATAGAACTCCAATATGCTGATGATAATGTAGCTTGTGCTCATTCAGAAGACTTACAAGACACTCTAAACAGCTTTGCAGAATCATATGAGAAGCCTCTCACTGAACATCAAGAAAGCCAAAGTACTCTTTTAGTAGTCACTAACCAATCCCTCTGTTGTTTATTCATTCAGTCGCTTCTGACTCTTCGTGACCTCATGGACCAGCCCACGCCAGAGCTCCCTGTCAGCCGTCACTCCCCCAGCTCCTTCAAGGTCAAGCCAGTCACTTCAAAGATACCATCCATCCACCTTGCCCTTGGACGGCCCTTCTTCCTTCTTCCTTCCTTTTCCCACAGTATCATTCCCGTCTCTAAGCTTTCTTGTCTCATGATGTGGCCAAAGGACTTCATCTTTGCCTCTAATATTCTTCCCTCCAGCGAGCAGTTGGGCTTTATTTCCTGAAGTATGGACTGGTTGGATCTTCTTGTGGTCCAAGGCACTCTCAGAATTTTCCTCCAGCACCACAGTTCAAAAGCGTCTATTTTCTTTCGCTCAGCCTTCCTTATAGTCCAGCTCTCGCATCCATAGGTAACTACGGGGAATACCATTACTTTAACTATGCGGACTTTTATTGCCAGTGTGATGTCTCTTCTCTTAACTATTTTATCGAGATTGGTTGTTGTTCTCCTCCCAAGAAGTAAACATCTTCTGATTTCCTGGCTGCAGTCTGCGTCTACAGTCATCTTTGCGCCTAGAAATACAAAGTCTGTCACTGTCTCCACGTTTTCTCCCTCTATTTCCCAGTTATTGATCAGTCCGGTTGCCAGAATCTTGGTTTTTTTAATGTTTAACTGCAACCCAGCTTTTGCACTTTCTTCTTTCATCTTGATCAGAAGGCTCCTAAGCTCCTCCTCGCTTTCGGCCATCAAAGTGGTATCATCTGCATATCTAAGGTTGTTAATGTTTCTTCCAGCAATTTTCACCCCAAGCCCCACACATCGCATGAGCACTCCCAACAAATTATTTATTTATTTATTTATTTACTTTTCTTATATACCGCTGTATCTCAAGCCCGAAGGCGACTCACAGCGGTTCACAAACAGTAAAAACAGTAGAAACAGCAGTGGTTCCATACAAAATATAACAATTGACTTAACACATTATCCATAAATTACCAATAAGCAATTACAATGCACAATTATTACAAAAAACAACCGTACCCAATCTTCTCATCATCCAAGCGTAGTCCAGGTTCGTCGTCCATTGTTCCATTCCTATATTCCATTACCTATTCCATTCCTATATTCCATATTCCATTAATATTCCTATATTCCATTACATTAGAAAATGTTGACCATTTCTGCTCCCTTGGCAACCACCTCTCCATAAAAGTCAACATTGACACTGAAATACAACACCGCCTGAGCTCTGCGAGTGCAGCATTTTTCCAAAGGAACATCCATAGCGAGACCAAGGTGCTTGTTTATAAAGCTATTGTCCTCCCAACCCTGCTGTACGCCTGCGAAATGTGGACCGTTTACAGATGTCACTCACAACTCCTGAAACGATTACAACAACGTTTCCTCTGAAAAACCCTGCAAATCTCTAGGGAAGACAGGTGGACAAATGTCAAATTGGGAGGGAGAGCTCATACCCCAGAGGACAGGATCAAAATCCAAAAGGACCTTCACAAACTGGAGAGCTGAATGGCCAAAACTAACAAAATGAATGTCCACTGAGGAAATTGTACGATACCACACTTAGAAAAAAAATGAAATACACAGATGTAGGATGGTGACAGCTGGCTTGAAAACAATCCATGTGGAAGGAATCTCAGAGTTTTGTTAAAGCACAAGTTGATCATGAGTCAATAGCGTGATGCAGTAGCTGAAAAGGCCAATCGGATTCTATTTTGCATCAACAGGGGTGGTGTTTAAATGGAAGGAAGTCCAACTCTATTTTGCTTTGGTCCAATTCGGAATAACTCTGTGTCCTATTCTTGGACCTTCAATTCAAGAGGGATATGGATCAGTGGGAAGGTGTCCAGAAATGGGTGACTAAATATTTTTATTTATTTTATAATAGTTCAATACATTTGTTGTACATCATTTGTTTTACAGCAGATACATACAAATTATTCAATACAATCTGCCATACTTTAACTTTTGGTATCTACTGAGGCAGAGGCTGGGTGACCATCTGTTGTGATGGTTGTGATTGTGTCTTTTTGCATCTGTGTACAGTTCACCTACAATCAAAGAGCATTCTGAACCCCACCAACGATAGAATTGGGTCAAACTTTCCATGCAGAATGCCCATAACCCACAGAAAATACTGTGTTTTCTGATGGTCTTTGGTGATTCCTCTGACACCCGCTCATGACCCCCTCTCCAGGTCCCGACCCCTAGGTTGAGAAACACTGCTGTACATGATCCCAAACTGAATTCATTCGACATAGCAGATGCACATTATGTGCAGTATTGATAAGTATTAAATCATTCACATACCTGTCTTTGGCTTTCATATGTGCATCTGTACACAAGGTGGCTTACAACATGTAACACACAATCCAAAAGTTAAAATATAGATACAAGGGTCAAAACATAGTATTTATTTATCGTGTCAGGGGCAGCCAGACAATTGTATTACATTTCTAACAGAACAAAACAAACAAACAAACAAACAAACAGACAAAACATAAAATTTGCAAGCTTGGTAGTTGATTAAATGTCCTTTGACCAGTATCTGGCCACTTGGAGTGCCTCTGGTGTTGCTGCAAGAAGGTCCTCCATTGTGTATGTGGCAGGGCTCAGGGTGCATTGCAGCAGGTGGTCAGTGGTTTGCTCTTCTCCGCACTCGCATGTCGTGGATTCCACTTTGTAGCCCCATTTCTGAAGGTTGGCTCTGCATCTCGTGGTGCCAGAGCGCAGTCTGTTCAGCGCCTTCCAAGTCGCCCAGTCCTCTGTGTGCCCAGGGGGAGTCTCTCATTTGGTATCAGCCATTGGTTGAGGTTGGTTGAGGTTCACATGGTGAAAGCATATATTCAATTAAATCAAATCCAATAAGAAAAAACAAATAAAATAAAATAGAAACAATAAACTATAAAGAAAGCCATAGTCAAATTAAAAACAAGTCTCCTTGAGTCCCCCCCCCCCCCGCCCCGGGGTTGAGAAGGGCGGGGTACAAATATCTGAAATAATAATAACCAGGGAAGCCAGACACAGTAATAGTAATGATCTCACACTGGGTCTACACTGCCCTATATTCCAGGATCCGATCCCAAGATTATCTGCTTTGAACTGAGTCCAGGTCTCCTTGTCTTTCTCCTGAGGAATCTGTACAATGACCAAGTAGCAATAGTAAGAACAGACCATGGAACAACAAACTGGTTCAAGATTGGGAAAAGCGTACGGTAAGGCTGTCTACTCTCACTCTCCCTACTCAACTTGTATGCAGAACACATCAAGTGACGTGCGGGGCCTGACGAATCCAAGGCTGGAGTTAAAATGGCTGGAAGAAACATTAACAACCTTAGATATGCAGATGACACCACTTTGATGGCTGAAAGCGAGGAGGACCTGAGGAGCCTTCTAACCAAGGTGAAAGAAGAAAGAGCAAAAGATGGGTTGCAGTTAAACATCAAAAAACAAAGATTATTGTAACCAGACTGATTGAGAACTGGCAAATAGAGGGAGAAAACGTGGAGACCGTGACAGACTTTGTATTTCTAGGCGCAAAGATGACTGTAGATGCAGACTGCAGCCAGGAAATCATAGATGTTTCCTTCTTGGGAGGAGAGCAACAGCCAATCTTGATAAAATAGTGAGGAGCACAGACATCACACTGACAACGAAGATCTGCATAGTTAAAGCAATGGTATTCCCTGTAGTAACCTACGGATGTGAGAGCTGGACCATAAGGAAGGCTGAGCAAAGGAAGAGAGGCACTTTTGAACTGTGGTGCTGAAGGAAAATCCTGAGAATGCCTTGGACCACGAGAAGATCACACCAGTCCATACTTCAGGAAATAAAGGCCAACTGTTCATTGGAGGGAAGGATAGTAGAGGCACAGATGAAGTACTTTGGCCACATCATGAGAAGACAGGAATGCTTGGAAATGAGAATGATGCCAGGGGAAAAGGAAGGGAAAAGGAAGAGGGGCTGACTCAGGGCAAGATGGATGGATGGTATCCTTGAAGTGACCAGCTTGACTCTGAAGGAGCTGGGTGTGGTGATGGCTGACAGGGAGCTTGGGCGTGGGCTGGTCCAGGAGGTTACGAAGAGTCGGAAGTGAGTGAACGAATAAACAACGGTGACAGTATGATAGCTGGGTCGAGAAGCTCCCAGCATTAGGGAGATGCTGCAAAGGCGGCTGTGAATAAGGGAAGAGAGGGAGCGGAGTGAGAGCGGGGAGAACGAAGGAAGGATAGAAAGGAGGGGACGCTTAGGGTAAGGGTTAGGGCAAGGTTTAGGGCTTGGGTTAGGGTTACGGTAAGGGTTATAGTTAGGGTACGGTTTAGGGTTAGGGTAAGGATTTGTGTTTGAGTTAGCATAAGGGTATGGGTTAGGGTTTGGGTTAGGGAAAGGATTAGGGTAATGGTTTGGGTAAGAGGTTAGGCTTAGGTTTACAGTATGGTTCAGGGTTAGGGTTAGGATAAGGGTTAGGGTTTGAGTTAGGGTTAGGGCTTGGGTTTGAGTTAGTGTAAAGGTTAGGGTTAGGGTAAGGGGTTAGGCTTAGGCTTACGGTATGGTTCAGGGTTAGGGTACTTGTTCTGTTGCCACTGGGCTTAAAATGAATTGCTGTTAAAACAAGACATGCAACTTCAGCCCAACGGGAAGCCAGGGGCCCGAAGAGAAGCTTTAGAGATTTCCCCCCCATAAACAGTCTTTAGAGGGCTTGAGCTTAAATACAACAAAGTCTTTATTGATGAACAATCAAACAGAAACTTCTTTTGTCTTCAAAGGTTAAACAAATGCTTCCAGGCTTCAAGCAACTGGTGGCTTCTAACTGTTTCTTTGCTTTACTTTAAAGGAAAATCCCTTTCCAAACTTCTCCCAGGCTAACTGTGAACCTAAACCTAACTGGTGTGGATCCACTACTGGGCTGAACTGCGTCTCAAAACCGAGTGGACCTACCAGTAGGCCTGTAGTCACTTAGCTGGAGTTCTTGATGTTTAAAGCTGTTATTCCCTCCGAAATTCCTCAGGGCTGTAAGGCTGTTTCCCTGGAACCTTTGGGAATCTTTAGATGCTCTTAAGACTGTTCTCCCCCGGGAAGTCTTAAGGGTTGAAGCTTTTGCACAGGAGACCTGGACACATCCTGTACATTAGCTATTCTTGCAGAGACTAACTAAAAAATGGCTCCCTTCCCTTCTCTAAACCCAAAAAGGGGGCGGGACTAGAGAACCTAATGATGATGAACAGGTGGCCTGCCCTATGACTGCAAACTTTAACAGGAAACCACCCTGCTGCAGAATCCCAAGCCTAGGATTGCAAGCAAACATTTAATACAAAGAAAATAAAGTGGGAGTTTCTGGTACAGCTGTACCAGCACAGTACGGGTTAGGGTAAGCGTTAGGGTTTGAGTTAGCATAAGGGTTAGGGTAAGGTTAGGGATTGGGTTAAGGTAACGGTTAGGGTAAGGGGTTAGGCTTAGGCTTACAGAATGGTTCAGGGTTAAGGTAAGGGTTCACCATTAAAGAACTCTTACATTTCTTATTTATTTATTTATTTACTTTACTTTACTTATATACCGCTGTTCTCAGCCCGGAGGCGACTCACAGCGGTTCACAACACACAAGAAACGGCAAAATTCAATGCACCAATATAAAAAAAAAACAGTTAACAACCTAATCTAATACACAATTATTACACAATTAT